GCAAATTTTTTTGAGAAACATTTTCAAGCACCGGCATACGATATAGACAACCCAATACATCAAGAAGCAATTGACTCTTTTAAACAAATTGAATATACGCCAAGAGTTCCGCTAGAGCAAATCTCAATAAAAGAAGTAGTAGATGAGTGGATGAGATTTAAGGGTAAGAAATCTACGGATAGTGCTGGGACTTCAGCTTTTATGCTAAAACAACTACCTCAAGAATACATGGCACTAATAACAATACTGTTCAATAAATGCGCTCAAAAAGGGAACTTCTTCGAAGCTAGTAAGCATGCAAAAGTCATTTGCCTATCTAAAGATGGTCTGTATCCAGCAGAAAATAAACTCAGACCGATCTCCTTACTACCAAATATTGGCAAATGGTATGAGCGTATTATTCATAATAGAATAATAAAATGGTGCGAACAACAAAATATCTACGTAGATGAACAATCTGGATTCACTTCGAACAGACGACTCCAAACAAGAATAACATCATTAGTAGAAGATATAAGACTAACAATAGCAGCCTGTAATAGGCCCGCACTCGCAATATTTATTGACTTTTTGTCAGCATTCGATAGAATGTGGTATCCTGGACTAATAAATTCGCTAACAAAACTAGAAATGCCACTTCCGTTGATAAAATGGATATCATCTTGGCTGATCAATAGATCTTTCTCAGTTCACCACGGAAACGCCAACTCTCGTAATATAAATATGTATGTAGGAGCACCTCAAGGTTCAGTACTAGCTGCCACTCTTTTTCGACTGCATATTCACTTTCTACCATCAACACTTAAACAATTTACTACTCACCTATTTGCCGATGATTTAGCACTGGTTTTTATTGGTTCGCTGGAGAAGAAATTTTCACAGAACATAATTGATTTGGAAATCAAAGCAAAAGAAGCTATGATGATACTTGAAAAATTTGCAGATAATTTGATATTACCAGTAAACGTTGATAAAACAAAATCGTTGCTAATACACAACATAGTATCACCTACCAAGCCTAACATAGAATATAAAAATCAAACAATCAAACATGTCTCCGAATTCAAATACCTAGGAATAACAATAACATGTAAATTGGGCTGGGGAAAGCACATAACTAAAGTACAAAGAAACATAAGAAAAATATACAACGCTTTGAAAATATTATACTTTAGAATCCCTAAGAAATTTGTTAAGACTAGGCGTAAACTTTTCTGTGCATATGCACTACCATACTTTATTTGGCTTTTTCCAACGTGGTTTTATTTTACCGAAAAGCAAAAAGAATCAATATACTCACTTTTTTGTTCAGGAATCAGATTGATATATTGTTTAAATGGATGGGATGACACAACAACCATGGTAATAAGCCAAGAAAAATGTCTATATGACTACATTTTTTCATATTGGTCTAAATTTGCAAAACACCTAGAAACAGCAAATGAAGCGACACAATATCAACATACGTGGACAGCATACCTAGCAGCAAAAAACCCGGATAAAATTTGGTATAAAAGCATGGGCTTCAGAAAAAATAGCTTTTTTCTAAATAGACTTTCAAAAAGAGCGGAACATAGTAAAAATGACTGGATCGAATTTAGTAAAAATCACATCATGCAGCATGAATACTTTAAAAAGTCAACATTATACCTAAATATGTTTATATATAAATATTTCCTACTTCCACCCTGACCCACTATTGATTATTCGTTCATCTACAAACAAATTCAAAATAAAATAAAAAGAGATAAATAGATGACGCTAGTATCAAACACCGTAAATAGTTCTTGAAAATGTTATGTAACATCTACTCTGTTCTACCTAACTCACTATTTATATCTGTAAAATGTAATGCATGGCTACAGCAAATACCTCTCTTTCAAAACCCTCCATTACGTGCACTGTTCTATTGTATTTTATTTTACTCTCTTTGAATTTGTACAACGTATTTCTCTCTGTAACAACAAACTGCTATAAAAAATGTAAGTGTGGAATGTAATGTTTCTTTTTTTTCCAATCTTACCTCTCGTTATTTACTCTTGGTGAATTTCTTTTCTATTATGTGAACCCGAATATGGCACATTAAAATAAATTGAAAAAAAAAAGAAGCATATGCTCCTGTATGAAAAATTGAATAAAGAGCAATTACATATGCGTACTTTCTTCTATCTAAAATCGCCCTATTAACGTTAATGATTCGTCAGAAATATTTTGCGAATTTATTAGACATCAAGAGTTATGAGACCGAAAATTCAAGAGATCACAAAGCATATGTACCACAATTGAAAGTGTACTATTTACAGTGCATTGAAAAGCAAAAATGTCTTCTCAGTAAGTAAAAAAACCAATAAATGTTTATGAGAAAATGATTAATGCTTCGTTTTTATGTCTCTTTATTGATAGACAGAAAATCTATAACATTTCTTTGCGTCGTCTGCCATCCATACGCAGTGGTGTCACTGTTTTTTGGATTGAAGATTCTGATAATTCATCGTCTTGGTTAACAAATATTCAAGCTGTGGTTGCTAATATTAATACACGTATTCTTGGATATACTCGCTTGTCAAAATGCATTAAATATTTAAAACAAGCAACATCATACGAACATGTGATTGCTATTTTTATTGTCAACAATAGTGCCAATGACAACAACGAAGTATCGATGCTAACTAATGATCTTTGTCGAATTCGTGAATATAGCCAAATACATTCTATATTGGTAGTGTCTCATATGAATATAGCTGATGGTAATGATATGACTAAAATGTTAAAGAATTCTTCAAATGGCCTTGGCCAAGTATTAGAAGTGTTTTCTGATTGTCAATCGATGTCAGTTCGGTTGCAACAGTTAATTGATATTTTACAAGAAGTCGATGACGAAGTACACAAGCCATTTAATCAACGAGTACAATCACTACGAGATGTTCGGCAGCAGTTGGGCGGGTTCATATGGAGCTGTTCATTCAAAAGTTAGTGTACTTGCGTGATTTGTAGAGTAAATTTTTCTATAGTCGCGAATCTTTTGAATAAGCTTCTTGCGATTTTTGAATTTTAAAAAGAATGTAGTATTAATATAATTGCTAAAGTTAAAGTAACTGATTGCCCAATGTTATTTCTAACGATGCTTATATTTTATGCTGTAGCTATTCTTATGGCAATGAATCATCATTCAGCAAGAGCTAAACAACAAATGTTAACTGAGTTACGTGCACATTGCCGCGGAAATAAGCGACAGTTGGAAATAATCGATGAATTTAATCATTCTTATTGCGCCTCTGATGCTATTTTTTGGTATACTAAACCATGCTTCTTTTATCGTCTGGTTAACAGTGCCTTGCGTACAGGCAATCCACTCGATCAATACACATTTCGTTATTTTCTTGTTGATATGTGCGAATATCTAGAAATGGCAGCTGCAGCAACTAGGGCACTCTATACTACACCATTTCGTGTCTATCGTGGAGCTCAACTGTGCCGAGATGAAGTCGAACAGCTCCATATTGGTACACTTGTAGCTAATAATGGTTTTTTCTCGTCATCACTACATTTGGATGTTGCTCAACAGTTTATTGGCATCGATTTAGATACCGGTATGTCACCCAGCCATGGTCGTAGTGATATAAGGCAATATTCTCTATTCAAAATCGAAGTAGACTTGGCAAAATCCCCTGATATAATTATGGCTGATGTATCTAGCGAAAGTACTGTTCCGGATGAAAATGAGATTATTTTTGATTTGGGTACCACTTTCATTATCACTGATATTTTCTATGACGCTGAACATCGTATATGGCATATTCAGATGACTTTATCATCGGAAGTGGCTCAACTTCATTCTGACTATACGAAGTACATTCGAAAACGTCTAACAGAAATAGAGCCTGCACTGTTATTCGGCAATGTTTTAGCAGATATGTTAAGTGATTTCAAAGGAGCTCTATCCTATTTTCATCGTCTGCTGCGTACACTTGACAAAGATGATGAGAATCGTGCAAATGTTTATTTTCACTTGGCACGTGTCTATCGCTATGTTAAAAAATATCAACAAGCTATCACATATTATCGATGTGCTCAATTGTTACAAAGACGTAGACTACCACAGACAAACTTTGATTATGCTCGAACATTATCAGGTCTTGGGGTTATTTACTTAGAAACTGGCAACCCAGCACGAGCTATATCTTTATTACAACAAGGAACAATCGTCAAACGTCGTGTATTACCAGAAGATCATTTAGAATTTGCGCATATTGCAAATCGGCTAGCTCAAGCTTATTGCCAAGAAAAACAGTATGAACCTGCAGTTGCTCTACTTCTAAAAACTCTATCATTCTTCAAAAGAAAGATGCCTACAGATCATCCGTGCGAAGCACAATCATTACACATGATGGGCGTAGTGCAACATGAAATGGGAAATCGAGAGCAGGCACTAGACTATTTTCAACGAGCTTTGCGAATACGTGAAAACCTGCTAGCTAAAGATGACCCAGTCGTTGGTGAAACATGTTATGAACTGAGTGTAATTCATGCTGAACGTGATGAAGAGTACGCACTAGCACTCAGCTTTGCTCAGAGAGCATTGGATATTTTTCAAAGTAAATGTTCGGCAAAAGATAGCGAACTTCAACGAGTTGTCCAACTCATCGATCGATTAACTCAAAAAACGACGTCTATAAGTTCTTGAGAGAAATTATTTACAAAGTATTTCAGAAGTGTATACATGTTCTCTATTAAATTTGACATATAACTTGAGGGTGTGGTTGTGACGTGGGGGTTTTAGTTTTCTCTTTACCCACACCCACACCCAAAACTTTTAGGTTTAATAAAAACTTTAATGTTTATTAAACCAACATTTTAATATTTATTTGGTCAGGATTACCATACACCCCACGATTGCAATTGTCAACACAATGATTTTGAAAAAATCCTTTTTTGTCTGTAAACATTTTATTTTCTTCCAACAACGAAATTTTGTTCAACAAATGATCAATTTTTTCATCTTGATTCAATATTTGTTGTTGTTGCATTAATAATTTTTCTTGTTGATAAATTAGTCCTTGTTCCTGAATAATCAATTGTCTTCCTTGATCCAATAAGTTCTGTCTTTATATGCTTAATTGTTGGGTGTGGGTGTGGCTAGGGGTGGCTCTTTAACTTTAAAGTACTTTAAGAAAGTAGTTAAAGTTAAAGTTAAAGCATTCCATACTTTACACTTTAATTTTACGTTTTGTTAAAGTAAATTTTTCATAGAAGTTTTATTTTCCTGTAAAAAAAAGTATTTCTTCCATCAAAAAATATTTTTTATTAAAAAAATTGCTTTTTTTATATGAATATTGTTCTTTTATGGCAAAAATAATGTTTTTAGGAGCAACGAATTTTTGAAAAAGACACTTTAAGCTTTAACTTTTATTAACGTTAAAGTCTAAAATATCCTTATTTTCACTTCACTTTAAATTCAAAGTTAAAGTATACCTACTTTAACTTTAACTTTAAAATTTAAAGTATGGCACTTTAATTTTGAGTTTAAAGTTTTACTTTAATTTTAATTTTAAAGATAAGTTAAAGTGCCACCCCTAGGTCTGGATTTGGGTGTGGGTGATTTGGTAGTGGAGACTCACACCCACGCCCTCAAATTGGTCAACTGGTTGATCAACCGTACTCATTGACACTTCATCATGTACATTTGCCAAATTAAAAGCTAAATGAAAATGTGGATTGAAAAAAGGTTTCGTGTATTTTGTAGGGACATTCTTTGTTGATAAATTTACTGGTTTTGATTTTATTGTTTTCGGTAATCACTCAAATAAAAAGAATTCGCCGCAGCTAGTATTCACCATTTCCAACGCAAATATTAACAATTGGTGTCACTTGGTCATGTGCTAAATCTGAAGTACTTTGTGTAGCATACGTGTCTTGATGATTGTTTAATACCATAAAGTTAACATTTTGTTTTTTCATTACGAATTTCCCATCCATAGTTAAAATTGTACGATCTGGTGAAACAGCACTTACTTTGTAAATCTCTTGATATTCATCAAATTGTATATGATGTCGTTGTGGTTCGAACGATAATTCTTTTTCTTCTAATGGATCAGATGGTAAATATTTTAAATATGATTCATATGTTCCACTTTGTTTCGATGATTTCACAAATTTTCCTTTTTTTAGAATACCTCGACGAACCAATCGATTTAGAAAAGGATCTATTTCATCTTTGTGGATATTCTTTAATACACCTCGATTCCCAAATAACGTAGTTTTATAAATAAAAACAACCATAAGGTAATTTTAAAATTTCTGTTTGATGTTTTAATTCTGTTGGTGTTTCATTGCTATTGGCATTAACACGATTGTTCATCAAAATAAAATGCTGAGACATTAGTACATCGATAAAGATATGCACAGCTTCTTCACATGTTTGTTTTGTGATTATCATTTTTGAACCATTGATTACTGTTGTTACATCGTTCGTTAAATCTGGTGATGACCCAAACATTGCTTCGATAATTGGTTTGGCTTGATTGATAAAAAATTGGTCGTAATTTAAAAAATCAAGCTGTTGGCTTTGAGATATAACAGCAAGTATATCTTTCTGGTATTGAATGTTTGAAGCCAAACATATAACCAATTCTGCAACCACGTCTCTCGGCAACTTGTTCATAAGATGTTGTCGCTCAAAATTTGATGCCGGAGTGTGGTTCATTTGAATTTAATGATGTTAAGCACGGTTGTATCTATACGCTGGCATCGGGTGAAAAAAACTTGAATTCGATTACCCATAATACCATGTATAATATATAAATGAACAATCGATGGTCTTGCACGATTTAATTGATTTTCTTTTCCTAAAAAATACGACAATACGAATAAAAAAATCCGTTGAATATTGATTTCAAAACTCTGAAAAACCTCAGACTTTTAAATAAACTTCTCTTTTAACAGCTTTCCAGATATGACAGTACAAATAGTGAATGGCATTAAAATGAGCAAAAGAAAATATGCCGACAGAAAATATGTCGAAAACTAAATTTCGAACACAATAATAGCGAAGAATAAAATGTTGCCCATATGAAAATAGCAAAGAATATATTTTCTCACAAGTTCTTTAAAAAAATTTCAAATTCAGTAAATGATATTTTATTCCTTCATTTTCTTGTATGATCTATTTTTACTGACTAGCGCTTTTCATCAATAGTATCATCGTAGAATCTAGTTGAAGGAATGGGCACGAAGAAAGAAAAAAAATATATAAATAAAATAAAGATACACCATATTTTGTTTTGTTTTCTTTTTTTTTATATATCACGTGTTGTTAATTTAGTATAATTTTTGAATGCATCTAATACCAGCAGCATGTCTTTTGCCATCACTAATAAAGGCAATCATCTGCTAGTTTTAAACGCTTTTGTATATCGAAACAAAAAATGAGAGAGTATTAAGAAAATATTGGATTTGTGAAAGAAATGGATACAATATGTATATACATATACGAATATACAGAAAGATTTTTTGAAATAGATGCGGATAAATTATTCGATGGTTTCTCATTCATCATAGTCAAACGAAAAAAATAAACTTTTACATAAAGAAATATTTTCTTTTGATTAATTTTGTAACTAATTATACTTTCATTCGTTTCATTTTTTGGTGCACTTAAAGTTTTATCAGAAAACAGTCTTCATATGAGCAGTCTAAAAATATTAAAATGAATTTTTCGGCAATTATATTTCACTATAGATGCTTTCGCTATTTTTTCCATTCGGCATTCTATTTTCGATATTACTTCTTTCGTTCATTTTGATACATACCATTTGATACAGCAACGAAAATGTCTATTATAAACCTTGTAGACTTATTAAATAGAGCAATTGCTAAAAATAATATGATCTCGTGTCAATACCATATACACAGACGCTCATGACTTCATGTTTGAATATATAGATATTACATGTATAGCTGCCCATGAAACAACAATGGGCATTAATGAACGTGAAGCATCATATTATATTATTCTGCTAATAACGCAAAGATACGCATATGCTCTTCGAACAGTTAAAGAGAACGAAAATGCTTTCAAAATCGATTCTAAAGTAGATGGATACTGATGTCTCTTGAAATATCTATATCCTTGCAATACGATGTGTATCAACATGATGATCAACACAAAAACAAGCAAGAACAAAATAAATATTCGATTAATCTAATGATTAAAATTTATGTTAGGTTCTGGACTAACAGCGAGATGATATGACCACAGAACGGAGAAAAAGATAATCCTTTCGTGGGATTCCGAACCACACATCCTCTGCTATCCGGGCAGATGTACTACCGTTATACTAGAAAAGACAACTTAATCTCCGTTTAGAATTGTAGGGGACCACTACAATTCTAACAATTTATCGTCGTTTTTTGCATTGAAAATATATACATAACCATTATTATTGCTAATCGACATAGCATTGTTGTTATTGAAAAAAAATTTACACCATAGATTTAACTTCTCAAGCATTTGGATTCATTACAGATGATGTGCAATTTTTATATAATTCAATGATGAAATGCATGAATATTCTATTAACGATGTGTTCACGTAAAAATAGCGATGTTTTTTGAACCATTATCAATCCAATTCAAATCGATCGGTACATAGAATTGCAGTTTGTGTCCTTGTTCAAGTAGAATTATTCTGGTTAAGTTTGTTTTCAATAGCATCAACTTTCAGTTCCTTGTTCGAAGTCTAGTGTTAAAATTTTATTTTTAGGCACCGCCACATGATCCGAGACAATATGACAGTATATTGGATTTTCATGTGTTACACTCGCTATATATATTCATTAATTGTTGAAGAAGTTTGATTTCAATATATTTAGAAATTCAATTCGCTGTCATATTTCCAATTGTTTTCAGTTTAAAATATTACAATGAATCCCGTTTATAGCATCCAACGGCCACAAATCATTTAAATATCTTTGTTCTATCAGTCTTTACTTTTTTCATATATAGATTTTGAGTAATAAAAAATGAACAATAAAAAGACTAAGATTAAGACAAACAGAAATAGTGTAATATGAACAGTGCGTGGCAAAGTAATAATATATAAAAGGAAAAAAATAGAGATTCAATGTAGAAAGAAAAATAGAACGAAAAAAACTAATAATTGCTAGAGGAAGTTAATTATTATCTGAAGAGAAGAAATCTTGAGTGTGTGTGTGTGTGTGGATATGGGTGTCGGTTTGGATGCGGGTGAGTGGATCTGCATAGTAAAAAGAGTTGAACCCGCACCCTCAAGAACCGGACAATATTATGGTATAGTGCTAATTATAATAATATTGCTATTTACACTATTGTACTCACAAAAGAGAAAGTTTTATTGAGACACATTGGGATTAATCAATCGATAATTCATTTTCTATTTAGAAAAGCAGAGCTGACTTTGCACGTCGGGCTCCGATAACCTTTCCTGTTCTCTTGTGTATTTGCTAACAGAAAGCTAGACTAAACGAGGAAGGTAATTCTTTTTATCATGGATGCCAGCTGTATCTTGTAGCACGCTTATTTACTTGTCTTTATGATTGATACAAAAAAAACAGCTGTAGTCGACCTTACATTCAGACATGTCATAGCCATCTGGAATACTGAGGGAAATGGAAGCTGTTCGGATTTGGAGCCAATAAGCTGAATAATCGATGTTAGTAACGCTCGCGCAAATATCTGATCGCTAGCTTGAATTATTTTGAACCAACTCGAACACAGTGAGCACATCACGTTGATCATTTTTGGCACTGTCTGAAAATATTTCATACATCCAAACTTTGTGTTTCAAAATTTTGTCTTTCTACCCAGTCAACTAAGCAGCGATAAAAATCTATTTTAAGCTATTATCTGATTCACAGAGGTGTGGGTATACTCATTATACACACACACACACACATACTTATTGATCTTTTCCTATCACTAAAACGTAATCAGCCTTGCTTCGTCAATGATCAGATGAAGAAAAAACAGACTTCATCTGTCTGAAGACAATTTCATCTACGCATGAAATATCAATGTAATGCATATTCTTGAATTCTCATGCTTTCCCTGTGATCTACACCCACACCGTATCTGCACATCCTCGAAAATTAGATGGCCATGCTTTGGGCACATTCTATTTTTGTTGAAGTCGCATCTCAATTGATCACATGCTTTCTAGTGTTACCCAATAAAATGATCACTGTTTTAACAAAGTTTATTATAAAATCTTTTCCATAGAGGCCAACTCATTCGCTCAGCTCTTTCTTCTTCAATAAATTGGCTCGTTTCAATTAAACGTCGTCCCGTTTCAAGATCTATGGTACTTGGCCACATGAATGGCGATCTCTTCAGTATTTTCCATAATATATACATTATAAGAACTATAGGAGCAGCAAGATACGCCTGAAAGAATCCCTCAGCATTAGGTTGAGCACCTTGCGGGAATACAGCGATATAGAATTGAGCAATTAGACACAGGATATTAAGAGCCAGGCCAACCAAACTACCCCATATGCCGAAAGGTGCTACAAAGACAAGCTCCTCCAAAGTATGACCTTGTTGCTTCCATGCTAATCGGAACATAACGTGACATGCACATATGGAACCCCAAGTGAAAAACGAAGACAGTCCTGATAGAGCGAGTAGCCAATTAAACACTTTTGGGCCCACGTTTGCACAATTAATGTACGCAATGAATCCTAAGAGCATTGAAAGAGCAACAGCTGACAGTGGGCGACCTTTACGATCGATATATGCGAGTATCTTCGGTGCTTGGCTACATTCAGCAAGTGCACACAACGTCCTCGATGCTCCATAGACAGATGAATTCCCAACCGAAAGAACAGCGCAAAGGATAACCGCATTAAATATCGAAGGCAATACTTTAATGTTCGCATTTTCGATAGCAATCACGAACGGCGATGCAGAGGCATCATAGCTTGATGATCCACCGAGAAGACGCGGAGATGTATAAGGTACTAAACAACCGATAAGTGCCAAAGATGCAATGTAAAAGATCGTTATTCTCCAAAAGACTTGCTTCGTTGCTCGAGGAATGGTTTTTCGAGGATTTGCAGCCTCGGCAGCTGCTAACCCAACCAGTTCGGTACCTGAAAAAGCAAAAGCAGCAGTAACGAATACGGAACAAACTCCTTTAAATCCATCTGCGAATGGACCTGGATTATGCCAATATTTTCCACCCACATATTCATGATTTGGACCACCTCCAAATACAAGAACGATACCGAGTATGATAAATCCGAGCACAGCAATTACTTTGATAATAGAAATATAGAATTCAACTTCACCATAGCCTCGAACACCGAAGACATTGATAATTAAAATTGCGATAAGAAAAATAGTAATCCACACGGCAATATTAACAGAGTCTGTCCAATACCTGATGACGAGTCCTGCTGCAGTTAATTCAAGTGGCATCACAATCAACCAATTTAAAGCATAGTTCCAACCCATAGCGAATCCCCAGGCTGGATCAAGAAAGCGAGAACTGTAAACATAGAATGAGCCAGATATAGGAAAGGCAACAGCTAGCTCTGCGAGTGCCATGCACACATTGAAAAGCATAAAACCAATAATAGCAAAATCAAGCACGAGTGCAGTAGGACCACCAGACGCAAGAGCACCACCCGATCCAACAAAGAGACCAGTGCCGATCGATCCTCCTATGGCAATCATCTGTAAGTGGCGATTCTTTAATGTTTGATGCAACTTGCTTTCATCTTTGTCAACACCATTACCTCGTTCCTCTCCTGGGCTAGCCACGTCCAATTCAATCGAATTGTTTTGAGTTGCCTGTGCAGGTTTGAAAGAATCAATCATTCGCTGTAATAAAGTTGGTCGTTCTTTAGTAAAAACGGCAGTTACGGTTTCACCTCGATTACCATCTGTTGAGGAATTCGAATAATAGTCATATGGCGTTTCCAGTGATGTAGCTGCCATTCTTGGTAATTATTACACCTGAAAAGAATCAATAAAAACCATTTACATATTGTGACGATGTCGAGGGTTGGGCAACATTTCGATCAGTGAGAAAAATTATCATTCCTACAGGAACAATGCCACCCAAGTCAAAAATGCTACCTTAAGAATAGAAACAACGATATCAGTGCAGCAATGGTGACTCAATGAGAGCGCACTCTGTATATTGACCCCACCGAAAAAATGAGCGCAGGCATTGGAATAATGCTAAGCTTAGTTAGAATAATGCTTTATTACAGCGGAAAACTGATTCCATAGGGCTTCACATTTTATATTTTGTCCAGCAGAAAAATGAAAATCCATAGAAAAAATGCTTTCTTCTATAGGAAAAATGCTATAGAAAGATGCAATAATGCTTCACTTAAGCGGGAAAACGCTGTTAGTTTAGGAAAAATGATTTGTATAGGACTTCACATTTTATATTTCGTGCAGCGGAAAAATGAAAATCAATAGGAAAAATGAAAATTCCTATAGGAAAAGTGTTAAGCATGGTTAGAAAAATGCTTCATTTAAGCAGAAAAATGCTGTCAGTTTAGGAAAAATGATTTGTATAGGGCTTCACATTTTATATTTTGTGCAGCGGAAAAATGAAAATCAATAGGAAAAATGAATATTTCCATATGAAAAGTGCTATCGAGATTTAGAATTATGCTTTCGTCAAGCGGAAAAATACTAGCATTTTAGTTATAATGTCTATGTTTATAGTCATAGAGGAAAAAAAATTTACACTTTGAACGGGCGTTTCTGATTTGTACTTTTGTTTTATTCTTGATCGAATTCAACTGATTGTGATGAATCCAATGAAATGACAGTAATTAAGATCTACAATAAATGAATCTAGAAGATTACAAATTACATGCATGTGGATATTATATATTAAATTCGTTTTCTGTTTACAAAAATTATATCCGTTGTTTTATAAGTTTTTCTCTTTTCCCTCTTTTATCGGATCACATTCGGATAACATATCGTGATAATGGAAAATCATATATATGTTTTTATGTAGATGTTGATATAGAAGAAATAGTTGTTTATAGTTATAGCGCACGTTTCTCGTTTCAGCGGACATTTTGTAATCCAGAGGATCTTTCTTAGATAAAAATTTTCTTCTTCTTCAACGAATCGGCTCCTTTTAGTGAATTTAATCGATTAGCATTATTGAAAATTTACAATAATTTAATCTGGAAGATTAGAAATTGCATGTACGTGAATATGATATAGTAAATTCGTTGTGTGTATGGAAAAAGCATGCAGATTGTTTGTATAGGTTTTTGTCTTTACCCACTTTCTTCGTGTCCGATTCATATAACATGTCGTGATACAAAAAGAAAAGTATATGTGTTTCTCTGTGTATATAGACACAATGAAGTAGTAGTTAGTGATAATTCTAGCGGACCTTCCTCAATCTAGAAGACCTTTCTATTAATACATATCTTTTGTTCGTCAAGGAATAAAGTGTAAAAATAATTGTAACCATGAATTTGTGACTGTGTTATTATTGGTTATCTAGATTATATACTATTGAGGATTAGACAAATATTTGATCAGTGACATAAATGCTCGTTCCAGGCGGAAAAATGACGTTTAGGTCAAAAATGCTTAAAAACTAAACTTACGATACACACACCAAACAAGCAAACAGTAACGAAAATATACCGTTTACCCAATAACGTCACACCACTGTAAAAAAAAATGAAAAACCCAATGGGAAAAATGCTATGGTGAATGATCTTTAGTAAGAATATTTATCTATTCGCGAGCAGAAAAATGAATTTTAGCGGAAAAATAGTTTCGATAGATGAAACATCATTTTTCTTTTAGAAGAAAAATGGGTTCGTATGTAATCGAAATGAACATACATGTATTCGCGATAAGAGAAAAATGAGTTTGCACGATACTAAGGATGTTTGGAAAATTTACAGTCGGTTAGATTATGGTGGACTTTGGTTAAAGCAATGATCGGTAAATTTTCATGAAGATGGGATGCCGAAAATCATTTACGATATAAACGAAAGTTTTGATAGTTTTGTGGTGATGCTTGACGAATGTCAAAGAGCTGGTAAGAAGTTTGATTCCAATGAATCGTTGGGAAAGAAGGAATGTGAAGAATGAAAATGAAAATGAAAACTACTCATATCTGGTGTTTGTAAAGTTGTGTATAGCATGGAATATGTTGTATATGCACGGATATCTTTTCTGAACAGTGACGACAAACGTACTCGATATAAATTTAGTGTACACACGCTGACTTATACTTAAATAGTTTGTCTTCTGTTATAGACAGAACGGGAAAAGAATTCATTTTTGACCTGAACGGCATTTTCCCGCTTGAAATGGACATTTATCTCACCGATCGATTCATTGCCCGCTACTGACGATGTCTGACAGAAGAAGTGCTTTCATTGATGGAACTATGCTTTATTGCATTTCTTCATATCATGAATCGTTCCGATTACACAAAAAGTGCACATTTAAATACTCAACCATCCGAGAGAATGAAAGCTGATGATAGTTAAGGCCAAACAATAAGGACATAATAATAAATACAAAACAGAGAAAGGACAAAAAAACACATAGTAAGGACAAAATAATAGTCACGCTTAACTGTGAGCGTTACACCCTCGAGTCCAACTTGGACGCTCAGGAGAGCGTCTGTAATACCAAGAGAAACAAACGGACTAAGGGAAAGTAAATAGTCTGTAAGAAGACATGGAATAGTGTCAAAAGATAGAAACATTACTGAGTAAAAAGGAGAAGAGAGAGAAAAAAATGCAACAAACACATATGCTCAAGAACAGCTGTCAGATGCGAGCACCAGCTTGAAATTGACTGAGACAAATCACCAGGCGGTAAAAGGGGAACACTTTCAATGCATTCTACTCATGTGTAAATGGACCATCTGGTACACTCAAAATAAAAAAGGTACCAAACGAAACCTTCGAGGTTTCGCGGAGCTGTACGATACTATTTAGGTATCCGTGGAATTATATGAAATCTGTACAAGATTCAGAAAAATGCAAGGTTTCGTTGTGAACTATTTCGAATTTGTGATTTGCAATAGGATTCGTCATAAAACCTTTTGAGTTTTGCATTCCAACCGGTTTGCTAAAATACCTCGCGAAGGGAACGTATTCATGGCATATCGTAAAAAAACAAAGCGATCCCTCTTGACATCGCATATAACAGCACAACTACATGACTACACTGAAAACAAAAAGGTACCGTACCGAACTTAAAAAGGTTCCGAATTTTGAAACGAATTCTAAACCTTTTTAAGTATCGTACGAAACTGGTTTAGTATGAAACTTATTCCAATAGACAAACTTAAAATTAGGTTTCGCAGATTAAGTTCCGCGATACCAATTTAATAATAGAGCTGTTATCAAGTCGGCGGACTAAATCACCGAAAAATATGAAATTCAAATCTATTTTGCCTTTTACATTATACTGAAGTAGAACAGAAGTTTGGTTGAGAGCAGCACTATTGACCCAATTTATCCTTTCCTTGCGTCAGAAATATTTACGTTGGTCATAAAACTCCAAAAACTCATATTATCAAATATATTCCTTACACAGAAAAGGAATAAACGGGATCAATAATGCTGTTCCCAGTTAGTTTACCACTCTACTTCAAGATAATATGAACGGATCAACTCATCTTGAATTTCATATTTTCCGATGGCCAGACAGGCCGTTATAATGGCAGTTCTGCTTTACAGAACTCGATACGCAAAGTTAAAACATCACACTCTAAGTAAAAATGTGTCGGATGTGTCGTAAACTACGATACAAAGCACGACATATTCTGTCCAGGAAGACCACGACGAATTTTTCACAACACATCCGACACATTTTCATTGGTTGTTTTTGAAACGCATATTTCGATATTTTTTAAAATTTAATTACGTATATCTCTTTATTTTTTGAAAATTCAATCACGTATATCTCTTTATTTTTTGAAAATTCAATCTGATCAGATTCTAAGACCTGATTGATTTGGAATTGGTCCGATTCCTATCAGACTATCGAGTGTAGTCCTTCCCGGAACATGGATCGGGATGGCAATTCCTTGATTATAAACCAATCAAGAATTGATTTAAAAGAAAATTTTATTTCGAGAACTTATATTCCATGCGTTCAACGATGTTGCTTATATGTCGCTGTATGTTCATAACAAAACGGTGAACGACTAGTCGACTGACAGAACGCGAAAAATATACGACACATTTTTTTAATTAAAAGTGCAACACAAAAATTTACGATACATTTTTGTAATAGAGAGCACAACACAAAAATTCACGGCACATACAGCCGACGCATTTTTATTTAGTGTGCAGAGTTGCATGAGTATCATCGCAAACTCTTCCTATTATTTCAAATTCGCCCAAATTAAGGCCGACTCTCCCAGAATTACCGTTTGGAACGGATTCAAAACGCTCTTTCTAGTTGCTTAATATTAGCTTCAGAGACTAAGACTCTAGGGAAGGCTCGATGAGACGTTCAAAATGTAACAGGAGGATACCAAACGAACAACCTTATTTCGTTGGCTTTACGTAAGACACAAATAGAAAATATTTCAATGAATTAGCCAGACTGGCCAACTATTAAAAACACTAGACCATAACCAGATTATTGACTTGAATAATCCAAACCGAGTCAAAGTTTAAATATGACATCCATATCGATATCAATACTTCGGTTTAATAATCATGAAATTGAAAAAAATGATCGTAGTTTTCGTGTTGAAATTATTTGCCAAATTGTTTAGTTGGGCAATCTGAATGAAAGAAGCATATATGGAGGCTAGCTATAAGTAAATATTTCCAATTAATAAACTACAACAATGAAAAAGCGCCTATACTTTTCAATGTAGAATGACTTGAAGTATCACTCGGTTGCATAGTGATTTGTGCGAAGAAAAGAATTTTCGAAGTTAAATTTAGCTTGAAGCGAAAGTTTAT